ACGAAATTAGCGAAACCGGTCGTGGGCTGTCGATGGATTTTCAGCAACCTTATGAGTAGTACATTACAAACTCTATGTCATATTTCACTGAGATTTCGTTCTCACTCTATTGTAGCCAACTGAGCCTCAGCGCTCCTTTCTTCCATTGGTTCAGCTGCGATATAGCCGATTTTCATCTGGTGTCCTTTGTCTTCTTCATTGAGGTTTTCCCACTCAAGTAACTAGACTATCAACGTGACAGAATAAATTGCATCAAGCTCCTAAATCACTCAGCTAGCACCCACGACACTACACCACTGAAGGATGATCTCTCTCTCTTCGAAAAGGATGAATTGAAGAGCAATGCGGACAGGACCGGGGGAAATCAGTCCCTCTATGGGAAAAGGGCAAAATCAATAGTGGAACAATATCTGTTTCCTGACTGAACGTAACTTTAAAGTATGTCGGGTGACTATTGCGTAGAATAGGTAAAGCCGGATGCAACTTGCGCCGAACTGAGCTGAGCACGCAACGACTTCGCAAGACGGTGAAAACTGCTGGGAGAGATCGGACTGTCAATAGAATACGGCCTTTCTGAGACCATCATCCCGCCCAACTAACGGTGGCAAATTAGGCGGGGCCGACTAAACGGTCCTGAAGTATATATGCGCAAGACACTGTCTGCCAATCAAACTGACTTGTGCAAAAATGCCCGCAGAAGATCGGCCTTGACACTGTTTTACCTATCACATCCCGGGAAGAATAATGAGGCGGGTGAATTTCAAGATCAAATGGAAACAGCTAAACACGAGGGGTCGAGCTGGACCAAGTGGTTAGAGCGCGAAGTTACTGATCGGAAGGTCCGTGATTCGAACCCGACCTCTGCCTCTCGACTTCCCCTGTCTAGGTTTGAACAAACTGGCAGTATCCCAGCCCTCGTGCCTCCTCCGTGTGGCACGACAGCTAGGCACTGAAAGGGTGCTACAGCTGAAGGATTGAATGATCTAAACACGACAGTGTCTGTCTTGGGTAGGACCAGAGATCACGCGCCTACGTGGGATTCGAATTGCTTTTGTCTGCACGGTGTGGCCATTGCAGTATCGCAAACCGTTTGCGGTAGATCCGGGGGTGGTTTGCCTAAAACAAGCAAGATTAAACTCCCATGTCATGTTTTGATTTGTTTAGTCCGAGAGAGAGAGAGAGTCAGTTGTGACATCCTCAAACAACCTAGGTAGGTCGACCTAGTCCTGACAAGGTCAGTTCAGCTCTAGACTGTTCGAAAAACAATCAATAAAGTAGTGTGAGATGAACTGGCGAACGTGAACTGAGGTTGGAAACAGACTGTCAGAAAAGCAAACAGGGACCATCAGGTAAACAATAAGTGAATATCCAGCTGGAGAAATAAAATTGGCAGAAAAATGTCACTGGTATACGAGGGAGAAAAACTCACTCCAAATGATTAGCAGAGCGTGATAACGATGCGACCTCGGAGAAGTTCGATCCGTCGCCAATGGGCACTTCGATGGCAGACAGCATTATCAAATGGTCGGGCGATGCAGGTAACATTTGTCCGCCATTGGTGGTAGGTAACCAGAACCAACGAATTGTGGGTGGTGGATAGCCGGTTGCGCGGCACCGTATTTGGTAGCCAGTTCGATCGAAAAACCTAACAGAAGTTGGCAAGTCGGGGACAACCCGTGGTGGTGAAGGCACTGCATTGCTGCTCCCCCGACGCGTTCGTCGATGGAAGTACCGCGCCAGATTGGCGGAATGGAGGGGCCATGTCGTGGTTGATGGGAAGGATGAATAGGCTACAATTTGGGCAAAGCGAGACGGAGGGAGTAGACAAATTTAATTTGATTTGTTACTATGCCGCACATGTGAAGTCAATCTATACTGAGAAGTCAGTGCGACTCTTTCAATCCTGGTGGGAATTATCAGCATCTCACGAACGTGCGGGGGGATTCGAATCAGAGACCTCCAGGTTAGCAGCTGATCTCTCCCTGGCATATGGCGCTATAGCCTGTCTGAGTGAACCGGGCTCGTGGCGCTCAGCTACTAACCTGAAGAAACAAGATTAGAATCTCCCCAGAAATTCAGGAGATGCACACTGCACAGCAAGGATAAAACAGCTGTATAATGCCTCTCGGTTTTTCGCTTGCAGGAAAAAATCCCAAAACGCCATCATCCTAGCAACAAACTCATCAGCATCATCATCGACAGCATGACATCGTGTTCAACAACCGATGCTACGAACTAAGAACATCCGCATGCTCGACATGAATTGATGATTGTCCTAAAGGTTACTCGGATCTCCCACAAGCAGGCAGTTAGAAAGCGCGTTTTCGGTTGTGTAACGGGTACTTCCATTGAAGAATGTGTTCAGCACTAGAAACTGCGTTGGTTGGGACATTTATTGCGTATGCCTAACCATCGTTTACCGAAGAGTGCTGTTTTCCATTCAGAGTGGCGGAAGCAGAGAGGTGGCCAACCCTTGAATTGGCAGAGGATTATGAAGGAGATGACGAAACGCTTGGGTGCTGTCGGTGCTACCTGCCTTCCAGGATGGGGGCCGCGTGATCCTCACTGTGTGTGGTTGGGGGCAATACAAGATATGGCTGCCAACCGATGTCAGTGGCGTTCTTGTTGTCAGTTTCTATCCAGATCGCCTGAGTGAATGTTTGGAGTTGTAGGCACCTCGGAATGATTGTGGTAAGCTAGCACTAACTCCCTTCCCCGTCCACCTTTATTCTTTTCTTTACAATAAGGTTTTCAAATAAATCATGGTTGTGAGACAATGAAGCATCGGTGTTGAACACTGATATCATGCTGTCGATGATGATGATGATGATGATGATGATGATGACTAGCAGGCAGTAGATCTATTGTGAAATGACCAGAGTGGATAAAGTGCAATCTTACTGGTCGGATGGTCCGTGGTTCGAGTACAACCTGGGTATCTCGACTGCTGGTATCTAGTTTTGAGAAACCTGGCAGTAACCCAGTCCTCATTCAGGTGGGATGGCAGCTAGGCACTGAAAACGCATTACAGTCAAACGAATATTTTATGCTATTTAGTGTGGAACACAGATGCACAATGATTCAGGTTCGATTGAGTCGCAAAAATAACACGAGACTTCCCATTCTGACGGCAAAAGCGCAAGGAACAAATGAACGAGACAAGTGACTCACTAAATAAACGGGTCAGGGACAATGTTTCAGGAGGACTTGGTGAACAGACAGTAGTTTTTGAACTGGGTAACGCTTCGCTTCCAATACAGTAGCTTCGTCAGGCCAAGTGAGCAGGTGACCAAGTTGGCTAGGTTTTAGGACAAGCCAGACCTCCAGATTAGCACACCAGATCAATGTTGAACTTTAGCTAAAAGGCCTTACGGTTGATGGGTTGGGGGAATTTTAACTCATTCTTGTTCGGGTTTCGGTCCTTGATCTTCCAGTTCAAGGTGCTTCAATTGATGATGCACCTTGGTTGCCAATGGGAGATTCTATTGGTCTGTGTGGGTTATCATAATCGAAAGCATGACATTAGTGTTCAACACCGATGCCTTGCTGCCGTACATGCTACGCCAATTTAGTCGGGGAGCGGGAGATTGGGGGGAAATTTCGAATCGTTTTGGTTCACGCACCTCATATCTAAGCTACCTTTGTTGATGACTTCCATTTCTGATAACCGCACACCACTACGGGTCGGCTCGACTGAGTTCGGTGCTGCTCGAAAGGCACCTGCTCTGCGCAGCCGTGTTAGGAGTGGGACAGTAATGCCTTACTCCCTGCGCCCTCGGGCCAGGCCGGCCCCCTACAGCCAAGTAAGTCAGACTATTGAGTCATTGGGTTTCGGGAAGGGTTCCCCGGGAAAACCTAACAACAGCTGCCTTACTGTTCAGACATTTGAGTCAGAGGCTACGAAGAGTACTCAAACACTTCATTGTAGGTCAGACTTTTGAGTCAAAAGCTAAACGTAGGATGCATCAACCCAATCCACTCCTTCGGCTTGGGCAACCGAGGAGTATCGTTCGCCCTTGCAGCTTTTCGCTCCCCAGCCTCCATTGCACTCCCTCCCCACTTATCGAATAGTGCAATGCAATTAACTCATTTATCAGTCCCCTAGCCATCGTTCCGTGTCTGAAACCGCCCAGAAAAATAAATCCAAATATATATCATATTTTTATCGCTTAGCTGTAATACCCTTTCGGTGTCTAACTACTAGAAGGAAGCACCAGGGCTTGAATACTGCCAGGTTGCCCAAGCCTAGACAGGGGAAGTGGAGAAGTAGAGTATGGGTTCGAACCACGGACCTTCCGGTCAGTAAATTCGCACTCCAGCCACTTAAGTCATTTCGCCCCGAACAGAAATAGTCAAGTACCAACTCGTTAGATCTGATCCACGTTGCAACCTCCAATGTCCGCACTCCATGTCGAATTCGGCAAAAGAATATCTTGCTGAGACCTTGCCTTCCCTGTATGCCGGTGTACGCATAAAAGAACTTACTTCGAGCACAGATGTACTACATTTCTGGTGATCCCGAAACAATGGTTCGTGGTACGCATGGTGTGGGAGTTGCACTGGAACACAGATGCACAATGATTCAGGTTCGATTGAGTCGCAAAAATAACACGAGACTTCCCATTCTGACGGCAAAAGCGCAAGGAACAAATGAACGAGACAAGTGACTCACTAAATAAACGGGTCAGGGACAATGTTTCAGGAGGACTTGGTGAACAGACAGTAGTTTTTGAACTGGGTAACGCTTCGCTTCCAATACAGTAGCTTCGTCAGGCCAAGTGAGCAGGTGACCAAGTTGGCTAGGTTTTAGGACAAGCCAGACCTCCAGATTAGCACACCAGATCAATGTTGAACTTTAGCTAAAAGGCCTTACGGTTGATGGGTTGGGGGAATTTTAACTCATTCTTGTTCGGGTTTCGGTCCTTGATCTTCCAGTTCAAGGTGCTTCAATTGATGATGCACCTTGGTTGCCAATGGGAGATTCTATTGGTCTGTGTGGGTTATCATAATCGAAAGCATGACATTAGTGTTCAACACCGATGCCTTGCTGCCGTACATGCTACGCCAATTTAGTCGGGGAGCGGGAGATTGGGGGGAAATTTCGAATCGTTTTGGTTCACGCACCTCATATCTAAGCTACCTTTGTTGATGACTTCCATTTCTGATAACCGCACACCACTACGGGTCGGCTCGACTGAGTTCGGTGCTGCTCGAAAGGCACCTGCTCTGCGCAGCCGTGTTAGGAGTGGGACAGTAATGCCTTACTCCCTGCGCCCTCGGGCCCGGCCCGCCCCCTACAGCCAAGTAAGTCAGACTATTGAGTCATTGGGTTTCGGGAAGGGTTCCCCGGGAAAACCTAACAACAGCTGCCTTACTGTTCAGACATTTGAGTCAGAGGCTACGAAGAGTACTCAAACACTTCATTGTAGGTCAGACTTTTGAGTCAAAAGCTAAACGTAGGATGCATCAACCCAATCCACTCCTTCGGCTTGGGCAACCGAGGAGTATCGTTCGCCCTTGCAGCTTTTCGCTCCCCAGCCTCCATTGCACTCCCTCCCCACTTATCGAATAGTGCAATGCAATTAACTCATTTATCAGTCCCCTAGCCATCGTTCCGTGTCTAAACCGCCCAGAAAAATAAATCCAAATATATATCATATTTTTATCGCTTAGCTGTAATACCCTTTCGGTGTCTAACTACTAGAAGGAAGCACCAGGGCTTGAATACTGCCAGGTTGCCCAAGCCTAGACAGGGGAAGTGGAGAAGTAGAGTATGGGTTCGAACCACGGACCTTCCGGTCAGTAAATTCGCACTCCAGCCACTTAAGTCATTTCGCCCCGAACAGAAATAGTCAAGTACCAACTCGTTAGATCTGATCCACGTTGCAACCTCCAATGTCCGCACTCCATATCGAATTCGGCAAAAGAATATCTTGCTGAGACTTTGCCTTCCCTGTATGCCGGTGTACGCATACAAGAACTTACTTCGAGCACAGATGTACTACATTTCTGGTGATCCCGAAACAATGGTTCGTGGTACGCATGGTGTAGGAGTTGCACTCAGCCCCAATGCTGAAAGCGTCTTACTGGACTGGATCCTAGTGAACAGCAGTCTTTGCGCTGTGCGGTTGTCTAGCTCAATTAACATTAACGCAGGTCGATGCGCGAAATGGCGTTTGTTCGTCGTATCAGCATACACCCCAAACAGATAGCAGTTCTGAGACTGGAAGGACGCTCTGGTCGGCAAGAAGGGTAGGTAGGTATGGTAATCATGGGGGGTGAGACGGATGTCCAATTTGGACGGGTCGGCTCGACTGAGTTCGGTGCTGCTCGAAAGGCACCTGCTCTGCGCAGCCGTGTTAGGAGTGGGACAGTAATGCCTTACTCCCTGCGCCCTCGGGCCAGGCCGGCCCCCTACAGCCAAGTAAGTCAGACTATTGAGTCATTGGGTTTCGGGAAGGGTTCCCCGGGAAAACCTAACAACAGCTGCCTTACTGTTCAGACATTTGAGTCAGAGGCTACGAAGAGTACTCAAACACTTCATTGTAGGTCAGACTTTTGAGTCAAAAGCTAAACGTAGGGTGCATCAACCCAATCCACTCCTTCGGCTTGGGCAACCGAGGAGTATCGTTCGCCCTTGCAGCTTTTCGCTCCCCAGCCTCCATTGCACTCCCTCCCCACTTATCGAATAGTGCAATGCAATTAACTCATTTATCAGTCCCCTAGCCATCGTTCCGTGTCTAAACCGCCCAGAAAAATAAATCCAAATATATATCATATTTTTATCGCT